CATTCGCGCTATGTCCATGTCGCTTGTATCCTTCTTCTTCTAGTTGTAGAGCACGATCCACATTCTGTTGAAAAGCGGAATCTATTTGTTTATTGATTTCGCGTAATGTTCGACACATTGTGGAATCTGCCGCAGTTAAACTGTCACAAGATGCACTTCGTCTTTTTCGTGGATCTTTCACGATTCGTCCATTTTCATCAAAACTGTGATTAAAACTATCCATAGATTGTGACAACTCGCTGATAGTCACAGACGACATTAAATCAACGTTACTTCCTACTGTGATATTTTCTAATGATTTCGCGATGTCAGACGGAACACTCAAGCACTTGGACATCTTATTCCTCGAATGAAAATTCTGTACTCCGTTTGAACTGTAAGAATTAGCACTTGGAGTTGAACCATTTGAATTTTTAGAGTCTTGGTTTCTACGGCTTTCAATTTTTGAATAGTCTAATCCCGCTACGACTGGTGAAGTTCGCGAGCCATTTTGTTTCGGCTCTTTGTTGACCTGAGCGTAATCATCATTGACACGCCTGTTAAACTGTTCGTTATTTTGAAACGAACCCGGAGATCCATTTGATAAACGTTTTTCAGGAGAATCGTCAATTAAAGTTTCTGATTGTTTATGTTTAGCGAATTTATTGTCAATATGTTCGATAAAATCTCTCATATCACACGGAGAACACAATATATCACTTTCACGCAGGCTATGGTCTGATTTTTTATTATTGTCTTCATCAGACATAATCTCCGCATAATCGTGGTTACGAGAATAGAAAAACTTGCTCGGTGAATCAGGCGATTTTGAATTCAATTCCAACAAAGCTTTACGCTGAGCACCAGGGCTGTCGTGTAGCTGAATAACGTCCTCTTTAGGGAACTTAGGAATCGGTTCAGGAGAATTCCCTTTCGTCTTCTTACGCTCTTGAGGCGTTGATTTTGCACTACGTTTTTGTGCGGATTGTTCATCTTGTTTGAATTTAGAAAGTCGTTCACCATTGATTACATGTTCGCCGTCTAAACTTTCCTCGGAAGAGTGGATATACGTATATACTTGTCTTCGTTGTACTTGTGAATCCTCTAGAGCAGGTTGCGATAAGGCCTTCTGATGAGACACTTGTCGAGTTTTAGCAGCAGCGGAGTTACGTTCCTGATTGGGCGTATTTGGAGCAGACGGTGTTCGTCGATGATGTAATGCCATCCTCGAAGAATCTCCCCGAATGAAAGAACCTTTTCCAGGATCTTCTCGTTTCATTTGTTGAGATTTTCTAGGAGACATTTCTTCATCCTCCATTACTGAAAAGAAACAAAACACAGATATAAATTTTCTTTTCGGGGAAAGGACTTTATTTGGGGTAAAATGTATTAGTGGAATATAATATCATTATATATTTTCATCTCCTCTGAAGTAAAAGCAATTTTCTTTTCATCAGATGCCAGTTGTCAGAAATAGATACAATAAAAATTTGGTATTTCAGAGAAGAGATAGACATTTTGGAGCTCAAAACACCAGCGAATGACAAGTAAATAAACCAAATAAACAGCATTAAATTATCGTTTCCGGAAGAAAGACTTAATTCTCATTTTGTCAGTTGACTAGACATACGTAGGGGAGTTGAAAAATAAGTTGCGAACAGTTTTACAAGAAAATAAATAAAAATAATATACACAAGTGCACGACAGTACAAATACTAAATACTATATCAGATAGATCTTGGTGTGGTAGACAGCTAGCTAGCTAAACAGGGTGATGACTAGGCTATACTGATTGGATGATTTAAGAAACGATGGATGGTAAATGATGGTAAATTTTTCAAACTAGGGGGAACGATGGTATTGGATTTGGTTTTAGGCTTAATCTAAACCGTAGCTAATTTTTAGGAATTTTATAAATATCTTGATCAAATCAAAAAAGTTTCAAACTTGAGGATCGAAAAAATGGTTAGTAATAATTTCAAGGATTAAATTTGGATTAGGGAATATATAGGTACACATACCATGGGGCACTACTGCCGAGTCAACATCAATAGGCATTTCACGCCCGCTTTCGAAAAATATTGCACTATGGGAATGGTGATGTAAGATGGCTGTAGCATCAGATGAAAGAGATCGTTTATGGTGCGGTCGTTCTTCTGAAAACCGAATAAAAATACACATAAAACCAAAAATAGGAACAAAACATAAATACATAAATACAGAAATGAAATGGAGTTTTACATCCTACTCTTCTGCACCTAATTGAGCTAATGAAGACGGAATAAAAACAGAGTGTATGACAACTTTGGTCAAATAAATATAACTTTCAGTTTTCTTTTTCATACTTAGGCTAAGGAAAAAACTCTCCTTTATTGGAGATTTATTTAAAATTTTCGTGAGAAAACAATCACTTAGATGCATTGATGGTGAAATAACCACTCTAACACTTATCAGTTCTGAGAAATTTTTTGTAATTTGGAACATGATTTTAGAATTAATCAAATACCATTGTTGATTTATTGATGTACTTTCTAATATTTTTTCAAAATTAAATTCATCAACAACTCTGAAAGTTGATTTAATATGAACAGATTAATGACAAGATAAATGTACTTAAGAAATGTACTAATATTATCAACTATTCATGTCTAGACTACTAATAATACTATAGACTAAAATGGATGCTATATGTAGGTTTGAATAATTTCAAAACATGGCCAGTTGTTCAATATACATAGGGTTGTTTATGTGTATTGAGAACACATTGCACCATTCCAAATCTTCAATCAAATGTCTATGGTTCCTGCTATTCCATTTAAACTAAGTGTTTGATGACATCACTTATCACAAAATATGTTTTTATCACATAAGGCCTTCGTAATTTGATGTCTGATTGAAAATTGGAATGGTGTAATTTGGAGCTATCAGTGTCCCCGATACACAAACATTTTAGAAAACTTCTTTACAATCCCTTTTTAAATTAGTCCCAAAAACATTCTGGATTTCGGGCCATAAAAAATACTATTGCCATGGCAACCTTCATACAACTTTTGGAAATCAACGTACTGAAATAGCTTCTATGGTAGACGAGTGCTGAAGAACGCTACATTATGCTGTTCAGACAATCATTGCCTCTTCCTATCAGATTACTAATTAGTAAATAGCACTATATACAGATTAGTATTATTATCTGATTGTTAGCATGGTCTCTACTTGTTTGATAGAATGTAATGATGATGTCACTTCCTGGTTACCGGTACCCAAAATGGTGGTTTTAGTTCTAATATATGTCAAAAGGTAAAAGTTTGATGATAATGTAGCAACTAAGATCTTTATTCCAGTTGAGATGTAAATGGGTACGGATAATCCAGGAATGATCAATGCCAAGAGGTTTGGCCAAGGTCCAGCTGTAGAAAGGATCCTTGTGAACCTAAGTTGTTATCCTAGGTAGCTATTGCAGTCAAGATAATAGAAGCAGTTTGACATTGTGATGATGGCCAAGGGCTAACTGGTAAACTAAGTTGTTATCCTTGTAAAAATGTTTGCTTTTTTTTTTGTTTATCTTATTGCATGTGTGATTTTAGTCAATGCCAGGAATCAGCTGGTAGAAAGTATCCTTTGTGAACCTAAGTTGTTATCCTTATAAAATATAGTTGTTTCTTTCTTTTCTTTTTCTTAAATATATTGACTTTTGATGAAGCTCTTCAAACTAAAATTGCACAAAATAAAAAAAACGAAGCATGCATGATACAAAGCAAGCAGTGCAGGATAAAACAACGTGAAAAACATGTGCTTTGACAAACCTTTATACACATTTAAAACCATGGCATTTTCTGGTCCTTTACGACTACTACTGCTTCGATTGGAACTAGTCAAAGAGAGTAGAGATTCCGCACTTTTGGCGCTGCGTAACCGTTTTTTCCAATTATGAACATCTTCTTCCGTGAGTGCTTTCCCTTGAATGGGCGGGAGGTTGAGAGTATCTGTAGAAAAGGGTGCAAAAGTCAAAAACCCAGACAAAAATTCCCATTTTTTAAAAATTTTTGCGTCTTTTTTTTTTAAGTTATAGGTCTTGAATTAGTGGTAGAAACCAAGGACAGCAAAAAAAAAAAAAAAAGATAAAAAATACTCAAAACAATCACCATTCTGGTAGTAAGTGAAAAAAGTTAAAAATCCTCGAAAAAATAAATGAAAACTGAGGGAAAATATGTTACTGAAGCCATACCACCACAGGACACCAAAAATAAAATTCATAAAATATTGGTTGTTAGATTTTTACAATTTTCAAACCATGCATCCAGGTCAAGCACCATTTTGTTTTTTCTAAATTTTCAAATATATTATGTGTTAACTATCAAAAAGGGTCTGTTTGACAAACCAGACATTAAGTGGCATCAGGTGTTCAAAAAAGGTGAGCTGAGCCTTCCTCGCTCAAGACACCCTTTTGCAAGACTTGTTATATTCAAGCTCTATGAGCCTTCCTCGCTCAAGACTTGTTATATTCAAGCTCTAATTCTGAATTATGTTTTTGGACATAGAGACAATGTCAAGTACAATAACTGTGAATGTAAACCTTTCAAGACTTCAAAAATTGCAAGAAAACTGTCAATTTTCATTTAAAGACAGTCTTGGAACTATAACTTTTGATTCAAATGGTTGACGTCATCAAGAAATGTTTCAATATTCAACCTGGATACAAAGATTAAAAGAGTAAAATCTAAGCAAGCTATTATTTATTATTAATATACCTTGAATACTTGATTTTCTAGCCTTCTTTATACTACCAGCTCTAGGCTTCGAGAAAATAGACTTCCACCCACTGACTGGAGATTTTTTAGTTTTGGTTGCTGATGTACCAGATTTTTTCCTGAAAGTAAGTAAATCATGCAAAATAATAATGTACATTTATAAAAAGTAAATAAAGGTATTGTATTACCCCCTACAGTGATTGATAGCTTCGTATCCAATTAGTGAGCTGTAATCCAAGTCCCTACACCCCTACCTACGAAATCATGTTTAACTTACTTGTGTCCTGGTAAATCTATAACTGTATGGTATTTAGCTGGTAAATTTTCCGGACCACCCCCAACATCAATAAACTTCTGTGACACTGGAATCAACCCACCAACAAATGCTCTTTCTCTCGCCTCCTCTAACGATAGTAACCTAGTAGGTGTTGATATTGCTAATGACTTTGGTCTTGGCTTTTTATACGCTTCTGAAAATAGAAAGGATCAAAATCTTAAATCATATATAGAAAGCTAACAAACAAAACAAAACAAAAAAATTCTTCCTCAACAGAACAAATCAAATTATAGTTTCATTATGCAAATAAGAAACTGACGAACAAATTTCGTGTAATTGTAAACATGATGGACAAAAATATTACTTTTATAATTCCAGAATGATCAAAAATTAAGATTTTCTCCTCTTTGTCCATCAAATCATGTCTCCCCTTTGTTCATCAAATCATGTCTCCCATTTGTTCATCAAATTGTGTCTCTCCTTTGTCCATCAAATCATGTCTCCCCTTTGTCCATCAAATCGTGTCTCCCCTTTGTCCATCAAATCATGTCTCCCCTTTGCCCATCAAATCGTGTCTCCCTTTGTCCATCAAATCGTGTCTCCCCTTTGTCCATCAAATGCATGTGTCCCGTTTGTTCATCAAATCATGTCTCCCCCTTTGTCCATCAAATCATGTCTCCCCTTTGTCCATCAAATCATGTCTCCCCTTTGTTCATCAAATCATGTGTCCCCTTTGTCCATCAAATCATGTCTCCCCTTTGTCCATCAAATGATGTCTCCCCTTTGTCCATCAAATCATGTGTCCCCTTTGTCCATCAAATCATGTCTCCCGTTTGTTCATCAAATCATGTCTCCCCTTTGTCCATCAAATCGTGTCTCCCCTTTGTCCATCAAATCATGTCTCCCATTTGTTCATCAAATCATGTCTCCCATTTGTTCATCAAATCATGTCTCCCATTTGTTCATCAAATTGTGTCTCTCCTTTGTCCATCAAATCGTGTCTTCCCTTTGTCCATCAAATTGTGTCTCTCCTTTTCCATCAAATCATGTCTCCCCTTTGTCCATCAAATCATGTCTCCCCTTTGTCCATCAAATCATGTCTCCCATTTGTTCATCAAATCATGTCTCCCATTTGTTCCTCAAATCATGTCTCCCATTTGTTCATCAAATTGTGTCTCTCCTTTGTCCATCAAATCATGTCTTCCCTTTGTCCATCAAATCATGTCTCCCCTTTGTCCATCAAATCATGTCTCCCCTTTGTCCATCAAATCATGTCTCCCCTTTGTCCATCAAATCATGTCTCTCCTTTGTCCATCAAATCATGTCTCTCCTTTGTCCATCAAATCATGTCTCTCCTTTGTCCATCAAATCATGTCTCCCGTTTGTCCATCAAATCATGTCTCCCGTTTGTTCATCAAATCATGTCTCCCATTTGTTCATCAAATCATGTCTCCCATTTGTTCATCAAATTGTGTCTCTCCTTTGTCCATCAAATCATGTCTTCCCTTTGTCCATCAAATTGTGTCTCTCCTTTGTCCATCAAATCATGTCTCCCCTTTGTCCATCAAATCGTGTCTCCCCTTTGTTCATCAAATCATGTCTCCCCTTTGTCCATCAAATCGTGTCCCCCCTTTGTCCATCAAATCATGTCTCCTCTTTGTCCATCAAATCGTGTCTCCCCTTTGTCCATCAAATCATGTCTCCCCTTTGTCCATCAAATCGTGTCCCCCCTTTGTCCATCAAATCATGTCTCTCCTTTTCCATCAAATCGTGTCCCCCCTTTGTCCATCAAATCATGTCTCCTCTTTGTCCATCAAATCGTGTCCCCCCTTTGTCCATCAAATCATGTCTCTCCTTTTCCATCAAATCGTGTCCCCCCTTTGTCCATCAAATCATGTCTCCTCTTTGTCCATCAAATCGTGTCCCCCCTTTGTCCATCAAATCATGTCTCCCCTTTGTCCATCAAATCATGTCTCCCCTTTGTCCATCAAATCATGTCTCCCCTTTGTCCATCAAATCATGTCTCTCCTTTGTCCATCAAATCATTCT